TACCAGAACCTTGCCACGCAAACCCAATAGACCCCTGATCCTGTTGGTGCATGTGAGTCTGGGCAGAGCTTGGCCCTGGTGTCCCCTGAGAGCCACGTCCCCCAAGAGTGATGTCCCCTGTCGCCTCCAGCGATGCCGACACCAGGGGAGCACAGGGCTCGAGCATCTTCTGGAAGCAGCAGCAGCAAATTCCCCTCTTCCCTCCTTTCAGATGTCATCTGACAGTGGTGACCTGATGCCACCGTGATGGGTTCCCTGTCCCCGAGCAGTATCCCTGTGCCTGTCCCCTGTCCCCATGTGTCTTTTCTCCCCTGTGGCTCTCCATGACCCGCTCCGGGGCCGGTGCTCTAATCTGTCTCTTGAGCTGTACCTCACTAATGTCTCTGTCTCTGATCTTTTTCTCTCAAACCTGTGTCCCAACGGGATCGTTAAGATTCGGATTAACCGAGAAGTAAGTAGACGGTTCCCCTCTCCTTCCTTCTCTCTGCTCCCATCTCCTCCCAGGCGTCGTACCGGGCAGCGTGGTGTTAAATAGCATCTGGGAGAGGCGGGCTGGGAAAATGCGTGGATCAACTTGGGTATGGTCCAGGGAAGGGGAAAGCGAGGTCTCCGTGGCACGTCCTCCCTGGGGTGATGGAGAGCAGGGGCTGTCTGCTCGAAGGAGGGGTTGAATTCAACCCACAAAAATCCCCCATGAAAGGACCTATGGTGGATGGAGAAGCTGCCATCACCTCCACGCACGTGACGTGGTTGAACTCTGCTGGACCCGTGGCCAAGGTGTGGGACACCAGGTCGCCGGTCGCTTTGGCAGTGGCCTCACTGGGATGTGCTCTTTGGGCTGGCACGTCCTTGTTAGGAGTTGGGAATGGTCCCGATAAGTGGCTGGGATGAAGGAGGGGAGTGGGGCCGTTGCTCAGTGCCCTGTGGCTGCTGTGGGATGGGACGTCATTAACAGGGCTCTCGTGACGGCGTTGCCGTGCTCGGCAGCAATGCCAGCGGCAGAGGAGCTGGGATCGAGCCGGCAGGCCCCAGGATGCCTGAGGGATGCTGCTGGGGATTTTGGTGCAGAACAGGGATAAGGATTGGGCGTTACACGAGCCTTTCATGGGATGTGGGACGTGCACCCTCCCAGGACAGGGTGCGCCGGGTGCAGGGTGGCTGCTGAGCCCCCTCCTCCTCCTCCTGCGGTGGTGGCTAACACGCCCCCG